TATGCTCGTTCCAGATTGGCTGGCATTCTGGCCAATCAGGATATGCCTTAGTTTGGTCCGTTGTCCGCACGTAACATCCGCCCTCACGGATTCATGGACTGATACTCAGAATCGAGGCTTTTAGCCAAGTTTTCCGGGTTGGTTTTTGTTCTTGTCGTTCAGCGGCTGCCGTTCATCTGAAAGGCGCAAGTGAAAAAAGGGTGCACCACTGCTCCTTAAGTTCTCAGTGTGGGACAGTATGCTTGCCAGTGCGAGGAATCGCATAGGTATTCAATAGTGGTTTGAACTGGGTTCTAGATGGGGCGTGTATAACCGTCGGAGGAAGGTCATTCTAAGCAGCTTCTACCCGAAATGAGAAAAAATTTTGTCCTATAAATGTGTGTGCTCTGAGCTTGAAAATCTTACCATGTCCCCGCCGTGTGTTTGCTGGGTCAACGGTGAAAAAGGTGTTGGCCAAATCTTATTCAAGAAGAGCATAAGTAAGAATTACGTCACCTTGGAGGCGATGACACTCCAGGAGAAAGAGATCAAGCACCACGAGACGCGTTTCGTAGTCCACGGGTTTAACACCGGCTACCGTTTTCGTAGCAGCTCGCTGGGCACGCTCAATGAGGGTTACGTCTTTCGTGCATCCTGAGTAGACAACTTGGTTGGCGTATTCAGAGAGCGGTCTGACGTGAGCCCCATAGAGTATTTGGAAGTCCATGCAGACGTGCGCCAAATTATTCGGAGAAGAGCCATTGCATTTTGCACTGATTTTTCATGGTGCAGTCAAGAGGACAAGTTTGAAAGGAGCCAGATACCCAAATCCTTTTTGGTGTCTATCCTCGTGATGGTCTCTTGTCCTCTCTCACCTACATGACAAAGGCAATCGCTGTCCCCTAAGGTGACTTATGGACGCACTTCTCGTCATTCGGAGAAAGGGGACAGTCCAACGACTACTGCTCTGAAGCGCCTACGCCCGTTTGGAGGGCACTGGCATTAGAACTTCAGGATTTCAAGCCATCCGCAAAACGCAGGCATGGACCTGCAAGAACATCTGGAAGGTCGTTGACCCATATCAGAAATAGCAGTGGTCCCAAAAGGAGCCTTGAGGAACTCCGATAGAGACTAGTGCTGGAGAAGAGCATGTCGAATCTTCTTTTACCCAGATGTTCTGTCTGATAGGAACGCATCTATTCATTGTAGGATTTTTCTTTGAATCCTGTAAGACTAGAGTTTGTGGAGCAGTGGGACGTTTGGGACTCCATCGAATGCTCTGGAGAAGTCGTAGAGCATCCGTTATGAGTCCCTCGTCCTCTGTTTGGGTCAAGCTGTCCATAATTACGTGCATGTTTGTCACGCAAGAACGGTTTGGAGGAAACCCGTGTTGACCTGGAGATATCAAGTTGGTGGAAGTAAGGTGATCTAGGACGGCTGGCTTCAGAATGCGTTCCATCACCTTGCACGGCACACTATCGAGGTTTATAGGTCCGCAGCTGCCAGGTGATAGTCGGTCACCAGTCTTGTAGATTGGCGTGACAATTGCTTCCTTCAATTGACATGCTTTCCGGTTACTCTGGGTGACTGGCCCCCGTAAACAGGACACTGGGGGCCGTCTTTTTGCATGTGCGTCATTTTTCATACCCGATTTGTTGCATTGGGCTGAAGTTGACATAGTAGAATGGAATAAAGAATGTTACGAAATGTTTGGTCGTCCCTGCTGCTATCTGCCTTCCAGGATGGAGTCCAAGTGACATTCTCTGTGTTTGGCCGAACGATATGTTGACTAACTGATCTCATTTGCGTTCATCCTGTCACTTTCCATCCAGATTGTATGACTGGCTGTTGGAGGCTTAGGCACCTTAGGTCCTTTTTCCCTTCCCTATTTTTTTCTTTCCATCATGAGGCCTTATTCTACTAAATTAATTGGGTTGTACGGTAGTGAAGCACCGCTCTCCCCATCTGATGTTACTATCAATATTGATGTGATTACGTTCCGATGGATTGTAGCTTTTATTCCGTAAAAGGCGGTTCCTGTAACGCTCTAGGCTTTCTTGTTTCTTACAAGGAGTGGTGAACGGTAAAGATGTCCACTTTCTCCATTTCTACTCATTTTCATAATCAATGAAATCATGAGGCAAACTCTGGAGGTTCTTCAAGCCCCTGCTTTGTACATCGTCGCTAGTGAGAATCCTGTCGACCTGGCATACGTAGATGATATGATGAACGAAGGCCAAGCACAGGCTCTGCTGAATCTGGCATACGTAGATGATATCGTTCTCACGAACGAAGGCCAAGCACAGGCTCTGCTGAATAAACTGATTGCAACAAAAACAACACCTAACATGCGCCTCGCAACTACGATGTGTAAAGTCATTCTTCAGAACGCGCAGTCTTTGAACATTCTTGCAATCTAGGGAGAAGCAAGGAAGCTTGTACAAAATTTTACCTTAGTTCTCTAGGCATCTCAAGATGCTTGTAATAGGCTGGCACCCCCACACCCACTGCTTTCTCTTTTTTTCTCACTCTAAGGCTCTAAACATACAATCAACTCTGTGTTTTTATCACAGTAAAGCACGGGTGTCAATAGTGGTGATGCTGTCTCTGATGATGATGATGGTGATTCGCTGTGAATAAATAATGTTATTGCAATCCGAGAACGGCTTAGAGCAGGAAATAAATGTGAATCGTAATCTTCCGTAAGTTTCTAGGACGGTTGATGGGTGTTACGAATAGAATATTGGTATTGGATAATGATTATAAAAATCTAATGAGTAATAATGAGTGTGGTTGGGCTTCTCGATTTCTTAAAATGTAGGGCCGTGTACGCTGGTTGAGCCTGGCTAAATCAGAGATGCTAGGGTCATATGTATCTGGAGATGCAGGTGCATTGCCCGGGCACGGGGGTGAGACTGACGTATGATCGATATTATCTCCAATGTTATTGAGCGGAGGCGTGTGCAAGTCAGATAGAGGGATTGCATGAACACCATTGTCTTCATTGGATGAGGTACGCGTGAAATCGTTGACATATGTGCGATCACCACAAGGAGCAAGGTGACGGACGGATACAGCGCTTTCTTTCCCGTCGGGAAAGCGAACATGGGCGTAATATGGATTGCAATTTATAAGTTGGACTTCCTCAACGACGAGCTCATACTTTGAGGCACGGTCAAATCTCTTCAGTAAAACAGGTCCTGGAACAGTGAGCCAAGTTGGTATAGATAAACCACAGGATGACCGACGTTCAAACCGGAACATCCGTTCATGTGGAGTGGCATTCGTGGAGACGCAGAGAAGGGACCGTATAGAGTGGAGGGCATCTG